TTTTTGTATAAAAGCGCGTTTTTACTCCCTCGTTTTTTTCCACCGAAAACTTCACAGCCGACAAGAATACGACGCAGCGTTCTCGTTGCTTCCTCCTGTGACAACAGTGTCTTCCAGACGCGTCGCTACAGCCGTTTAGTGTCTGCACCGCCTAAGATCCCGAGCCAATAATCCTCCGAAATGCTCCCGCAGCGGCAGAAAGCGTGCAGTGGCCAAGCAAGTCAGTAAAACTGGTAGTTCTTAAATACGCATACCGATTTTGTCATTTGCCGCTCGATTAATTAATCGGACAAATCCTAATCTTATCATCAACCCAGTTTGCCTCAAAGCTATGGGTGAGTTGGCGTTCCTGCAACCGTGGCTGGACGCGCTTCATGCCGTAGTGAAGCCTCCTGCCCATGGATTCCGCACATTTGATGATCTCAGCGTGCGTGTGCAGACCACTGAAAGACAACCAGCAGCTGGTTGTCTTCGGGGGACGAGTCGCACCAGGTGGCGCCTTACCGAAAAGTGCATGTCAGACTCTCGACGAACTTTGAAAATGGGGACCGAGTGCGACAGGGAATGGAACTGCTCAATATGCTCGCCGCTGTCAAGAATAGTGCCTTCGTAGAGCTCATGGATGACCTGCTGTCGCCGGATCCCATGCTTTTCGGCGATCGATGTACCCACTCGACCGTGTACCCCACTTGGAAGTGCAGTCTCGTGGGTACTTTACCAGCAGAAGCTGATGTAACTTGGGGAGCTATTTTCATGTGTTCACGCGACCCATTTGAAACCTCGCTTGAGTTTCGACAAGCCATGGAGAAATTAGAGACAATGGGGTTACAGAATTTAGAAGGTGGGCGATGGATTCGGGACGATGTTAACTGGACTGGCAGATATGGTATAATAACTATGGGTGGAGAGCAAACTACTGCAGATAACACGGACGAGATCAAGCCAGCTGCCAGTCCACAGCAATTCTCCCGTCACCTCGGCACATTATTTCGCTTTGAAGCTCCTCCAGCTGCTCAACTAACTGGATGCTGCTGGTACTGATGAAACTTTGGAGCAAACCTCGGATGTCGACTACCGAATTGGAGCTGGAGATCCATAGTGCTTATATGGACAGAACCGAATTTTCTAGCCCTGACGTCCTCGAAGTCGCAGTGGTACTGAGTCGAGCTGATTTGACTTTTCTTTACTTGAATTTTGCTGATGTTCTGGACTCGGATCAAAATACAGAGCCGCTAGCATTGACGAACATTGGATTTGTCGTCTCTACACTGATTTGTGGTCGTTCTTTATGTGCGTCAATCGGCACAGATATCGAGATTCCGTTGATTGAACGTCAAGGGCATGTTAGAAAGCTGTGTCTGGCCTTTGACAGCTCGTTTCATACGTTTACAGGGGTTTGCGCTGCTCTCGCCAGTGGCGCTTCGTTTGGTAGACTGGCTTTGTGGGTGGATGTCGATGAACAAGCAAACCTGCAGGTTGTGCAAGATGAGTGTTGGTCGTGGTTAGCCTATGCACTTTGGAGTAAGGGGTCCGGTTGTTCAGTTCGAGAGCTGGCAATTGGGGGCATTGGACTATCACGGAGTGGTTTGTCGATCTTCAAGGCTGCATTCCAGCAAAACTATCCGGAACCAGACTTGATGAGAAACGTTGAGTACGGATTAATTACCATTCCGGAAGGAGTCGAGGTAAAACCTCGTGCTTGGATGGAGAACGATAGCATGGGCTTGATGTTAACGCACGAATGTCGTTGCCGTGCGCGCTATAATAACGCAACGAAAAACGTGGATTTTATTCTTCCTGGTTTTGGGATTTGCACGACAAAAGCAGATAATCGGAGCAAGTTTGTACCGGATGCCACGGCAGATTTAAGCGATGAGGTAGTCGCTCACATCCCAAATCTTGGATCGCTGGAACTAGATTTGTCTCAAGTAGAAAGTGGCGATGTACTCGATGCTTTGCTAAAACTTATTGGTGGTGATGTTCGTTCATTGACACTGAGTATTCAAGAAGGCTGGCTCGGTGTGGGGAATCAACGTGTTAAAGTCGATTTAAGTGAGCTTGCGCCTTGTGTCCCTCTTGGAAGAGCTCCACCTGCAGAATGTCACTATTTTCGTGTCCAAACACAACGAACTATTACGTCGATGGGGCCTGAAGACGTTGGAAATGTACGAAGCTGACGATGCTGACAGCCTTGACACCTGTTTGCGGCTTTTGGTCGATAAGACGCTACGATCAACACGAGAACTGAGTGAGCTGGAGATATCCGTCGGTCAGCTCGAACGTTTAAACCCGCTAGCTCGAGGTTTGATGAACGCTATCAGCGGACACATTGGCGAATTTCTATCCGTTGCAAAGGACGAATTCCCATCAGCCTCGAAGGCAGTGATGATTAGTGTCGTGAATGACTGCCATTCTCCGCAGTCGTCTCTCCAGTATATAGACGCAAGTATCCTTACATTGATATTTGAATTTGCAGCAAGGGCCCAGCAGCGTTCTGCGTGGCTACTCAATTCAAACCCAAGAAAAAGAAAACTTCACTTTTGCGGTTGGAATAGTTCTCCTTCTTTTATGTACTTTGAGTAGAGATTCACCAATATCTCGTGAGCTGGAAAACCTCTCACGGGTATTCCTGGACAAGCAGCGCTTCGTTCACGAGGGCTGTACCCCTTCTCTTCGTCGCAAATCCATCCACAGATTTATCATTGAGTTGGTCCTTCGGTTCCTTTTTGCATTGAGGCTGGAATGTGCTAACCATTTCGACACCGAGGGGTGGAGGTGCAGATACTTCTGGTACTTCAGGTACAGGTATCTCATTCCTCGCAATCTCTTCTCGAGACGTGGCCAAACCCAGCAACGCTTTAAGTTGTTTACGAGCGCCTGCGCGTCCCTGGAGTACGAGATCTCTGGCTTCCAATGGATCAACTCTCTGCAACTGAGCCAGGAGTTCCATGATGAACTTGTAGATGTATGAATACGGTAGATCCGCATTAATCCGCTCAGCGTTAGCCACCACGTCATCCAATTTCACAGCAGGTACAGCTATAGGTGTCTGTATTGAATCTCCATCTCTCTGGAAGTTGATCATCAGTGCTTCAAGCATGGCACGGTCAGGAGCCGCAGTATTTGGACTCGTCCACGCGAGTTTGTTTCGTTCACGATACTGCGGAAAGTCTTGTAACAAATGCTCATACGGCTGATGATCCAGTCGATAGAGTTCGGTTAGAGCAAGAGCCACGCATGTTTCGAGACGTGAAACACCGTAAAGCAACGCCAATTCGCCGAAAAACTCGCCACGTTCACGGATAGACTCGCCGGAGTCAAGCTTGACCAGGACTCGACCTTGGGCGATGAAATACATGCTGCGGTCAACGTCGCCTTTCATGGCTACTTCTTCGCCTTCGGAGCAAACCACGTACTGCAGACACACCAATAATCCGCGTAAGAAATGCTCATCCAACGAGCGAAACGCAGCGACCCGCGCTGCAAACCCACGGAGAGTTGCTAACACGACGTCTTCGTGTAAAGTGTGGGAAACGTGAGCCACAGCAGCGAACTCCTTTTCGCCTTTACGACGACGCCACACTCGTGCGTAGTACGACTTGATCTGCCGTTTAAGCTTCTTGGGCACCTCGTTCTCCACCAAATAGTGCTGCAACTCGCCCAAACTCTGCTCGAATGCAGCCTCACGACGTGCTTGTGCATCCAGTAGCTCACCCTGAGCTCCAACTAGTGCACCGTAAATGTATATACTCCACAACGTGATTGCAATCTCTGCTACTAATTCCAACGGATTCATGGACAAAATATCACCGTAAAACAGCGTTGAGATGCACTCCATCGAGAACAGCAGGGAGCGAAGATACTTGCGTGTCAGTGACACGCTCTCTAAGTAAAACGTAGTGACACTCTCACTAAGCATTCGTGCAGTATGTTCAACTTCCGTGGACCCGTCGGAAATGAACGTTAACATGCCAGAGGTGGATAACCACGATGTTCCGTAGTGGTGGAACCCAAGTTCACTGGTGATAAACCAGATGCACGCTAAGAGATGACCCATGGTGACGTACGAAGCCAACCCTTTCAGGAAATACAGGAAAGCCTCATCCACTGGAATCTTGCGATCATAGATCATATACTGGAAAAACTGCTCTGATAACGACTCGATCCTGTGCGCAAGGAGTAACCGGTTCATCCGTAGTAACCATCGAGTCGTCCACCAAGACGCAGTGGCGTGTTCGCTGCTTACCGGTATCCGTATATCAGTTGCGCATAATAGTAATTCAAGCGGTAACATGGCTAAAATATCAGAGCGAAGAGCTGGATTGGACGTGAATATTCGTCTCCAGCCACCTTGGTGTGTATTCGCCAAACTGGTACCGACACTGTGGACTGTGAGTGAAGCATAGCGAATCTTGTATCCAACATCGAAGACGCACAGGATGTCCAAGAAGACTTCAAACCCTGACCATAATCTCAGTGAAGATCCAGAAAATTCAGTAAGATCTGACGCGAAACAGAGCTTGAAAGGGGTGACGATCGAGTGATAAATCGCTATCATGAGCATTCCGATGTCCCAGAGTCTGCCCAGCTCTTTAATTCGCTTGATAACTTCTCTAGATCGGGGATCGATGGTCTCACTTTGATCACTGGGCAGCTGGAATTTTCCTATCAATGAAGGACGCTGCCCATTGCTAGTCCGGCGATTTAGATCTAGTAACTGCAACGTGCTCCGAAGTGAAGAACTCAACCATCTAGCGTCGTTAATACGTCGCGGTACTGACTGTTTACGCGCGTCGTGGTTACGATTTTTCCAGCGTCTGTACCGATGATACCATTGAAGTTGAGCCGTGTACTGAGGACGCTGACAACGCTGGATGATCTCAAAGTCTATGGTCGCTCGGCTGGTATATCCGTCATGACTTTTCATGTTCCTGTCGCCTTCCTTGTGCAATTCTTCGAAGTATTTGCCCCCAAACAGCGGCAATGAACGACTACGAACCATTTTGACGTTTGTGGTCATTACTGGAGCTCCAGCGAGTTGTTGGTCTTGAGTTGCAACTGTAGAGAATCGACGTTTGGGATCATTACCACCTAAGCCAATGGTCTGGGCAACCATGGAGATCCTAGTTGCGCCGAAGTGAGCTCCGTTGGGTCGACGGTTGTTTGGTTTATCGGGTGAACAGGATGACTGGCGTCTGGTTAACCTTCTTGCATGATACATTCTGGAGTGCGATCGATGCTCACCATGTGCATTCGGCGCTATGGTCACACGCATGGACGCTGTCTCAGGTGGGATAAGCTCGTCCATTAATTTACGGACCGTGTGTTGCACTGCAGCCAGGATTTTGAAGCTCGTCCAGCTCTCTGTCTCCAGACGACGCACATGTCTGGTAGGTAAACTATCGCGCACCAGTTTGTTGACTGGATTTAGGTCGACTATGAACTGTAGAGCGTGGATATCCTTTTTAGTATTGCTGGTCTGGTGAATAGGAGCCACGACGTCCCCCACTGTACTGCGATTCATTTCATTCGAGTTACCACGGTTCTTGCGCGAGATACTGAGACGTGTGCTGCGGATCGATACAGCCGAGGAGATTCGTCGCCGCGCATGGAGAGCAGCCAAAGCTTGGTGGAATTTGTTGGCTAGCGCATCTGCCTTTAGTAAAATATACTGCGTCTTCTTCTCAAGTAGTTGGACCTCCGAGAACAAAGACAACCGACTAGTAGCCTTCTTCGTAAGCAACGGGATAACAGACGGTGAGCCTGAAAGTCTTGCTTTTGCTCCTCGATTCTCAGTCGTAACCTGCTGCGTTTGACGAGTTGCTAGCAGGCGTTTGGCCTTCTTGGCGGTGCGTAAACTAGCTCTCTGGTAGCGCAGTAGTCGACCATGAACCCAGTCGAGAATGGAATACAACGCGTGCTTCTGTACTTGAGTATCCGACAGATCACCGTCGGTCGTCCATAGTTCTCTCCAATCGTGTTTGGTAACATACAGAACTTCACACGACGTCGTCGCCTTCACAGTCGCCAGTCTCCGTTGACCAGAGAGAAAGAAGGCGACCTCACCGAACAAAGCTCCCTCCATAAGGATGGCTACACTAGTCACTGAGCTGGTCCAGAAGACAGCGGCCACTCCTTTGCGTAGTGTACATAATCGACTCCCATACGTTCCTTCCACTAGGATATTGTCACCTGGAATGAAGAGCTCGGACTGCAGTCGCAACGCCAAATTATTGATCTGCGACGGAGTAAGGAAGCGACTAATTGGTAACAACGAGATAGAGCGTCCATAAATTTCTAGCATGAGCTTGAGTCGAAGATTGGCGGATAAATCGTGCACTGTACTGTGTAAGTCAAGCCCTTCGGTGTGCTCAAATTGCAGCCGAAAGAAGAATCCGACACGCTCTCGTAATGTAGTGGGGAGATTGTGCTCCTTGGCAAAGCTCTCGAAACTCGCAATGCGACTCTTGTAGTGCTTGGTCTCCTTGCCCAGCTCCAAGATAAGCTCTGAAATTTCACCCACGATGTGGCCGATGATGAATGTGCAGACCAGACACGTGATACTTGTCCACAGTGTACCCGCCGTATCACGAGGTACACTTTCTCTAGACCCCACAAGCAACAAAGTCGTAATCGCCCAATAGAAAGTTTTAGCGTAAAGTATTGGCACCGAGTGATGATACTCGTGTAGTAAATGGTCATGCTCCATCCAACACTGCTCCACATGCTCACACTCGCGCTCAGATATCAATAAAAACACACACCCGACAAAGTGAGCGGCCAATACAAGAATGATCATCAGCTTTGCTGGACTTAGATACGCAGACACATTGTGAGACGCGAAATGCTGCTGGATCTGCACGATAACGTCGTCCAAATACACAAAGAGATCCACACAACGAACGAGTCGAGGCAGTCGCCACAGGCTGGCAGTTATGGAGCCACTAGCAACTGGAGCGTACAGCGGTAAAGACGCTAGCAAGTCCCATTTAAACGTCGAGCTGTGGAGGTAATGCGTATCTTTTTCTTGTCGGGTAAATAGATTTTCAAAACCCACCTCAGGACATCCAAAGTAGAACAGCCGTAAGTAAATATCCAGTGCGAAACACCAGTCACACGCGAGATCTGCCACCCACACGACGGTACTTGTACCAGCGTAAAAATGCAAATGTGAGTGGAAACAGATCCGGAATATGATGAAGAAGGCATTGTAGATATTCCAGCACGTGATGACTGCGTTCCAAGCGCTCGTAAACGTGGTGCGTCTCGTGTCAGCGTCACGTACGATCGCTTTCCCGTTCTTTCCGTTCATGGTTACCATCGTATCGTGTTGGGAGAAGAGCGTCGTTGTCTGCATCATATGCGGCTGTAACTTCAGTCTCTCGAGGTTATTTACCACTCGACGCATCCTTTTCTGCTGATCCAGCCACAAGATCTGCGCCTCCTCCTTCACGTCACTCAGATCACTAGCGAATTTGCGCTGAATAACGTCGAATTGCTCGCGACTCATGACAGAAGCATTCACGAGCGAGGCAGCAGTGAGCGTAGCTGTGTATGTTTTACGCAGGAGAAACTCACTCACACCATAGCAATCCCCTTGGTGCAGCGCACGTATCGGCACCTTCCGGATATGATAAAATACGTTGACTTTACTTTCGTGTAAGAAAACAAAAAACTCTCGACAAATATCACCTTCAAGGCAGATAGTCTCGCCGTGCTGGAAGCTGCGATGGCGGAATTTTCCAGTTATTTCGTGAAGAAATTCCACGCTAGCTGAGTCAAAGAGTGAGATGCTTTTCACAGCTTCAGAGTGCAGAAGAGAGGAGATCTGATAGCATAGCTGGTCAGGTAAATGCGACAACAATTGGGACTCGTACGCACGCTTGTGCTCCACGAACTGGTGGTGATAAAAGCGTCGAATCTCTCCACTTAACTTTTCAGAGATATCCATGCGTTCCAAAATACTATTGAGCGTGTTCAGCTTCTCAACGTGATGATGTCTTGTTGCCATGACGTTCGAAATGGTGCTTGACATGGCTCCGACAACGCCAAAGTTAATGATACCGCCCACAAATATCCAGAATGCAGCGAAGTAGCTCTCTGCAGTCGAGTATGCAACGATATCTCCATACCCCACAGCCGTAAGGGTCACGATGGCCCAGTAAACAGAGCGCAAGTAAGCGAACGGGTACTTGTACATTGAAGAAGGGTCTTGGAGAGGAAACACTGCACCGATGTGGGCGTAGCAGTCGTATTTTACCCACGAGCAATTCTGAAACTGCGTAGCATACTGCAGACAATCTGCGCGTGATAGATCTGCCATATCGTGTTCAGTATAGTCTTCAAGTGTCGTTCTTTGTATAGTCCAAGCCATTTCGAACCACACACATCCAACGATATGAAGCATCAGAGTCACACCCAGTAGCAGTGACAGAACGAGATGCGTTTTCGAGCTGATACTGTGATAGTCGCTAATGTTTCGCAACAAACCGGGAAGTTCTCGTACCCGTACTAGTCGAAGTAAGCGGAGAAGCGACAAACGTCCTCGAATTGGATCAATAGGTAACGAATCGAGCACAATTCCAACAGGTAGCCATGCCAAAAGATCGAGATAAAAGCCGCTAGCTCGATACGCAGCAAAGATCATGCTCGGTTGAACGACCTCCAGCATCACGCTGTGATCCAAATACGCGAAATATCGAGAGCGAAGCACCAGATCAGCCGCGAAAAACATTTCAGCCATCAACGTAAGGGCGTAACGCAAGCCAAACTCGGGCTCCTCAGCGAACATGCCTTGGTCATCCGTCATGGCGATAAACACAGAATAGAAGGGCACTTCAAACGCGACGTACACAATCGCGAACATGCGAACTGTATCCCAATATACACGGAAAACCGAGCCTGGTAGCTGCCAGCTTACACCACGCTTTCTATCACTGGTAACGTCATTGTTAACAACGCTGTGTGTACTCCCACTATGCGAGTTCCTTCGTCCGTTCTCGTGGCCACCACGTAATCCCAGCAGCTTCTTGGTCTTCTGCAGCTGTGTAGAGTACTTGATCCACGTCTCAGTCATTCGCTCTCGCACTTCTGGCTCGCTCCCACGATGGAAATGCGTCACAGCTTCGTCAAATTTCGCCTTGGCGAGCACATAGAGCTCGCAGAACGTCTTAGCCACAGCTTTTTCTTCAAATTTCTCAGGAAAAAGTAGACAGCTATCTGCAAAAAAGTCTCCAGTCTGACACTCCTTAGCGTTGGAACCGTTAAATGCTGAGAGCACAATTGTACCGCGGATCACAAAAAACATCTGAGCGTTGAATTTAGGTTCCGTGATCTGGTCTGCGGGCGAATATACGCGTCGTACAAGTGCGAGAGCGAGTAAATTGATGAATTCGACGCTCTCCTTCATTAAAAAGCACACCTGCTTGACACGACTCGCCTTGAGAGTGGAAATAACCTTCGTTTGCAAGTGTTTGGGCATCAAATGAAGTGCCTCCTCGCTGTCAAGACTGTGGTGTGTACTCCAACAGTAGCTGAAGTACTCGATAACCTGATGTCGTACCGCCCGTGTGATGTTCTGAGAGCGCATATACTCGCGAGCGTTGTCCACGTGGGTCGCAAACGCAGCGTACCGTGCATTCCGGAAGCGAAAAATAAAGAGAAACGTGGCCAAAAGTGACGATCCGAAGAGAGCTCCAATAAGAATCACAGCCAACGCATACACCGTCTCTCCATCCGACACTGGGGTCACATCGTCATACCCAAGCAAAACTATCGTCCGCGATGCCCAGTACAGCGTGCGGGCGTACTTGCGAGCTACCGTGGCCCCAGAAAGTCGATCTCGGATGGCCCAACTCGTCTCCACATGTTCGTCGCAAGCCTCAAATGAGAGACCACATTGTGCGTGTGCGAGTAGCATATATCCACAGGCCACGTAGTGACACAAACCCGCACACATCCCAATATTCCGTACCAGACTGTCGATACCGGTTGAACTGAGATGTTGAACCCAAGACCGATCGGAATAAATGCTAGCGAATCGCTCAAAGCACTGTCGTAAGCGGTAAATCCTTCCGAGTTTCGTGATCCGAGCCAAGTGCAGCGTGTTGTATGCCCCCGACGACAAAGGTATTACCTCCGTGGGCAGTAATCCTATAACTTCCATCATTAACTCGATATTCCGCATCAATACGAATCGACGATGTGCACTGGAATCATCCATCCCAGCCCCAGGAATCGACGACAATGGTCCGATCGACGCGATCGTCCACTTGGCTTTCCCTCTCCGCAGTCCGGTAGACGCTGTGCGGGTCAGAATCTTCGGTGTTTTTAATCGATTCGCATCTCGCGTCAATTTCTTGTTGAGTTCAAAGCTTACGGACGCTGAGAGCTGCGAGAACGCGTCCTTCCAGATCTGATAAAAGCTCACGAATTCTAATAGCCCGATGACGTCTGCGACGATGTCTAGTGTCGTAAAGATGCTCAGCTCCTTGGTCCATTGGTGTCTTACATGTGTTTCTAAAGGTTCATAGTAGAACGCGATCCGGAACGGTATTGTCAGGAAAAGGTAGAGCGCGACATACAGGCTGATGAGTACGCGTAGAGTCTCTCGCGTAGTCCACGGTAGTTTCTTGTATAATTTAATAACAGGACGGCAAATGCGACGGTAGAAGCGTCGACATGCTCGAATGAATTGTTTACTGGATAACCTGGAACGGGTCTTGACGGTAGAACGCTTGGAAAGTTGGAAATCGCCGCGCTCAGGTGGAATGAGCGGGTCTCCGGTTGCGGCCTCCAGCTCGTGCTCATGGAGATTTGCAGCGTCCACAGTCGCCGCGTAAACTTTGCGATGCGGCATCGTTCAGACTCCACGCATGACCGACAAAACAACTCGTACCTCGAAGCCAGTGGTTTCGAGCTTTTCCCAAAGCCATTTTTAGTTCTTGTTAGTAAGAATGTAATCTGGCCCGATTACTGTACAACCACCACAATATCACTACTGCCACAACTTCCTTAATTCATGTGGTCCACCTTATATTCCTTCCCAAAAGTTACGTTGCGCATCGCGCTCTTCGCGCAACTTAGTCGTTTTCCCCTTGCCCGCACTCAGTTCACTTTTTCTTGCCCGCGCCCGCAATGGACTCGTCCAAGCGCGTGGCGGACGCCAAGGCGCCGTCGGCGGAGCTCAAGCGTCTGGCCAAGTTCTTCGCGTCCGACCGGCCGCCGCGCAAGCGTCTGCGCACACTATTGGACTTCCTTAAGCACACGCCGGGAGCGGACGGCGCGTCAGGAGGCAACATCGCGGTAGCAGTACAGTCGCTTCTCTCTGGGTCTTCCAAGGACGCGGGAGGCGGTGGGAGCGGCCCAGAACACGCTGCGGCTATTGCTGAATTTTGGGCCGACGCCAACAACTCAACGCTCGTCTTCGGGGTCGTTAACGACTGCGTTACAGAGCTCGAGACGCTGTATGCGCCGCATGAGACGGCGTTCCGGAAGCAGCGCCGCAAGCCGCTAGAAGCTGAGGACTGGAGTGAGGTATTTGAAGGTCTGGAGGTGCTATTACGCAATAATGGGGCCAGACTGAGAGAGGGGTGGAACAATAATGGTCTCACGATGCTGTTCGCCAAGCTATTAAAGAGAGACAACCACGCTATGATCAAGAAGTACGCATTCCGGTGCCTGGCGTTGTATACTGACGCCACGAGGAGCATCCAGCAGCTGGCAGCCATGCCATCGACCAGCACGTCGAGCTTCCAGGCCTCCAGAGCAGGCAGTATTCGCCTTATGAGCGACGGAATTGAGATTGATATCGATGAAGATGAAGACGACAGGGGAACCGCTATGCTGTCACACACAATGCCTAGCAGGAAGAACATGCACCTGGAGTTGTTGAGGGAGAGCGTGGACTTTTCCCCCTATGGAGGTGGCAGCATCATGCTACCGGATAAGTTCTTGAACGAGGGAGTGCACGTTGAAGGATGGATGAGACCTATGCCAACGCAGGCAGAGGAGCCGGTGGACATGTTGAAGTTTTTGATGGATTTGAGCTTGGAGAGAGAAGATACGCATGGCAAACTATCGGCCACGGGAAAACCGAGCGGGAGCAGTGACAGGTTCATCTTTTGGGCAGAATTGATCATGAAATTCTACATGCCGCTGCTGTACCCGAAGGTGTGTTTGAAGGTGAAGCTGAAAGAGGAAGGAGACACGCTGGGATTCTTTCATCACTGTCCTGGCAGCTTCCAGCGCGTGGTTGCTCGCTGGGTGTACAAGTTGAGATCAAAAGAAGACTTCATGGAGGTGCTTTGGTCGCGTCGAGAGTTCTCAGAAGTGATTATGGAGACCATCCGGCAGAGATTTGCGTATCGCGACACGGAGCTGGTGGTGGATGCCATTAAGTTCTACTCAGGTATCTGCACTGGCGCACAGTTTGTGCCGTCGGGGATGAAGTCTCAAATGAACGAGTGCTCGCGTGCCATGATCTCACACGTTTCACAGCTGTTTCATCCTTCTGTGCAGCTCGATGATTCCAAGATTTTACTGCATTGTATCGAATTACTGGAGCTCGTATCCCAGCGACGACTCGATGACTACACGTCGACATATCTGCGGAAGTTTGTACTCTCTACGATCGATAACTGTGTTATGCTGCGCGATCCTGGCAACCGCCCCGTACTCACGGCGATGCTGTCGATTGTGTTGCACGTTTGGATGCACTCAGCAGTCGTAACAAAGGCCACAGGCGCGCAGGTGTGGATGGAACTAACCATTGCAATGCGACGATGGCTGGTGAATCCTGCCGACACGAAGGCCGTGGGAGTTGAACTGATTAACTGCTGGAAGCGCGAACTTCGCTTTACGAGCTGCTTACTAATGTACGTAATGGACAAGGGATACTCGTATCTGAAGGTCACACCAGAAGGCGCGAAGCTGCTACCTCAGGACGGGAAGGACGAGAAGGCCCAAGGAAGTGGGAAAACGTTGCGGGAGCTGAAGCAGGGATACCTTCAGTCCTCAGCTAACTTTCTTATGATGACGGTGGTCGACGTATCGGATGCAACGCTGCTGCTGGATCGTGTGTTGCATCTCATCCCGCCTCCGACAGTATCAGCTCTGACGCCGTCGATGCATTTGAGCTTGACAGAGGGTATGCTGCAGCTTGTGGAGCTCTGGATTGACTCAGCCATTGGAGCACAGCGCAGTCATCCGTCCGAGTTGCAGCAAATCAGTCCGTCTACTGTTCTAGCTTTGTTCGGCGAGTGGTTCTTGCCAGCATGCGAGCTGGAAGCTTCGGATTTCCAGAATTCACGTTGCATTGCGATCGTGGCACTTTGCAAACTGTGCTCGGTGCGCTGTATCAACGCGATCACCCGCAGCCATCTTACCATCGTCGCTCGTGTCTTATTCAAAGGTATTACCTCTCCTTCAGGAGTTGTTGTCTCGACTGTGTTGCAGAAGTCCTCGGTATTATTTTCGATGAACCTCGAGGGCCTGAACATTCTCGTACCGGCCTATTTGTACGCGGTTGACGAGATCATTATTGGAAACATCTGGAGCCGAGCTGAAAAGTCCAGGGTGAAGTCGTCTGAGTGGAACAATGAGCTGAACGCGGCATTGGACGTTGTGTTTGCTATTCTAGAATTGCCCAAACGGTTCCCAGATCAGGATTTTGTGCGGTGGAAACAAAAGATCATGGGTGTGTGCGGCATCGACGAGCTCCCATTGATGCAGGATATCATTGGCGAGATTCCGGAGACATTGGACGATTTCCACGTCATTGTTGGTCGCATTCTTATGCGTATCGCCCAGCTTCCGTTTACTGATGTGGTTGACATCAAGAAGCGCGCGTTGTGGGGCCTCTATTGCCTGGTCGTTATGAACTTAAAGTCTGACAACACTGGAGAACACGTGATCGACCCCATTCATCTGTCCGAGTGGGTTGTCCATCTCGTGGATGTGTGTCAGAACATGGATTTCTCTATTTCCATGGCCGCGCTTACGATCTTACAGGATATGTCAGACTACCATGAAGAGATCAATGCGTTTGAGCCATCTCTAGTGGCTCGAATCGTCATGACGCTTGCTGTATTCGCGCAACAGCAGGTAGAAGAGGCCTCCATTGAAGTCCAGGCAGCGATGGAACGCATGGGTGCAGCGGAAACGTCGAGTGAGGGCAACGGGTCAGGCACCAAGTCAGCCTCTTTCACTGGATCCAGCCTTACAAGCGGTACCAATCTTTCGAGCTCTGCAGTGCGCCGCGGGAGTGATAACCCTAGAGCAAGCCGAGTGGAGAGCAATTCCGCGGATAATTCGGATGCGTTCAGTAAGCTGAAAAGCAAGCTGAAGCCTGGTCAGAATGCCCCTGCATCTGCTCCGTCAGCTTCGACGAACAGTCCGGTGAATCCGCCATCAAACTCCACTGCGCAACGGGAACAGGAGATCCCGGCGCTTCGGCTGATCGTCCAGAAGACGAGTGCGATCTTCGAGTGTCTGCGCTTCTGGATCATGCACCGAACCGAGGTGCTTCAAGATACGGACGTGAAGAAGCTGGTTTTCAGTGCCATCGAAGCAGCGTTGGTCGGCACACTGCCGGATGGAGAGTGGCAACGTGAGGTTGAGCGCGCACGTACTCTTGAAAGACGCATGTCGATGCCTCTGTTGTTCTTGGGGTTGCAGATGCGCGCGTCACTGGACAATGAACCTGGTCATGTGTGGTTGAAATGCTTCGAGGAGACCGCAGTGGCTGCCGAGGGATTGTTGATGCATTTACTTCATCATATTAACGGGTTCCCGTCACCTGCAGGCGTCGATCAGATGATATCAGATTGTTCCGAGTTGAATGAGCTGGACGCTGCACGTGATAAAGGCGATAAGGACTCGCCGCCTGCCGCTTTGAGTTTCGTGTTCATGGATTCGATCGTGTTCAGTGTCGTCGGCAGCCTCGATTCGCCGTGTGCGCGGTTCATTGTCCGAGACATGACTGGTCTGTTCACGTGGGAGATTACACCAGCAGTTATGCCTCGAGGTGTTCACTCGCTGATAAGTGCAGGGTCAAGATCAACCAGTAATTCCAATGGTGACAGTGCACCAGTGGAAAGAGAGCTGACGCTGCAAACAGATACGCTAAGTTCTGAGTCGCTGACGCTTCATCGACCCACTGGTGCTGTGCAGGTGGAGTTTAAGCACACGAACGAAGCTGGAGGGATCTGCAAGACCTGTGGCGGAGAGAAACCTAGGACGAAGTCTGCTCCATCTGACGCGAAGAGTGGACGTATCAAGCTTGAGGCTCGCCAGGTCTCTTGGGAGCACGAGCAGAACATCCTTTCTAACAACGTGTGCCCAATCAAGAGCAGCTATGCGTTCCATGAAGATGGAAGCGCCTCCTCTGCCAACAAAGAAAACGGAGATTCAAAGAAAAAGGAGAAAGCTCGGACATCAGAGATTGAAAAAATGCCTGGAAGTGGGAACAAAGATGACCGACAGGAGCGTCTTGAACGCATTGCAAAGCAGCATGAAGAGCGCAATAACACGGGCGCAGCAGCACAACCTACTCCAGAGCCGCAAAAGGTTGTTTGCCACTGTCCGCCACAAACTGAATCCAAGTTCAAGCGACGCACGACGACGACTATCTGTGGTTTATTCGATATGTCGATCAACGAGCCTAACGTGGGCAGCTTAGATGACGAGCGCTGCCTTCTGGATCTGGTGCTGGACAGTATTCCGATGGTGTTCCGTGACTGCGGTGGCGATACGACCGACAAGACGCTCTTGGGTGGCCGCTACTCGATGATGCGCTACAACCTGATGGACTTGACACCGTCGACTAACCCGCTTTTGATGGACTCAGCAGAAACGCCCGGATTTTCGTTTCTGCAGCGCCTTATTCACGATGAAGAGTGCTATGCACAGCTTAAGAACTTTTTGACGAAAGACGAACATCCGGGAGGCAAGGAACTGGTGGATTTTTGCGACGCAGTGAAGAAGTACGAACGCTCGTCAGTGCCAACGGACCGTCTCGGTCAGGCCAGCGTCATCTACTGGGAGTTCTTGTCGGCAGAAGGAGGCAAGAAACTCATCTTCCCCGCTGCAGTTGTATCTGATATCCAGACTCAAATCCACAAGGCTCAAGCCGCCCTACGAGCTGTAAGAGCGGCGCCTCCCGAAGACTCGTCGGACGTATCGTTCTGTCTTCCGGGCTCGCTATTCCAACACGCTATGACGTTTGTGGAGTACGAAGGCTTCGAGAAATCGGGATTGCTGGACAAGTATGTGGCCGCGTTGGATCAACCGCCAGCTGCAACGTCAGGCAAAAGCTCCAGCACACCGTCTATCCCACCGCAGCTCGCGCTTTTCGACTCGTTCTCGATCATGGAAGTTAACGCGCGGATATCGCATCTGGCTTTGCATAAGCGGAGTTGTGATGAACAGCTTGTGCGGATGACGAAGCCTGGGGTGGCAGGAGGAAGTCGTTCCGTTGAAGTGTCTAATGGCAGTCTGAAGGACAGTCGTGTGAGTGCTTTAGACATCTGTCGACTCTTCTTATCCCAGGCGGGTTTACTGCCATCTCCCGATGGTGATTCGAACAAGAAGTCGACACTGAAGTTGCTCGAGCATGGACCGAAGCTGGAGCGATCGCTGAAGCACTTGGACAAGAGTCCGACGCGAGAAACCATGAAGATTGGTGTGATTTACGTGGGCAAGAAGCAGCACACACAGCAGGAAATCCTTCACAACGAGAAGGGCAGTCGAGCGTACGAACTGTTCTTGTCACAACTGGGCTGGAAGGTGAACATGCAGACTCATCGCGGCTTTGTCGGTGGCCTAGACACAAACCCAAAAAGTCTGTCTAATGGGGAATCCACGCTGTATTACGCGAGCTCTCACAGCGAAGTAATCTATCACGTGGTTACCATGATGCCCACGAAGCCGTCAGATCCACAGCAGATTGATAAGAAGAGGCATGTGGGGAACGACTACGTGCATATTGTTTGGAGCGATAACGCGACCCAGAATTACGACCCATCGACTATCACAAGTCACTTCAACGACGTGCAGATAGTGATTTATCCTTTACGGAAGGCTCAGCGTGGCCTGTTCCTGATCAAGATCCACACGAAGGACAAGGTTCCTCCCTTTGGACCGCTGCAGTCAGGCATGGTGGTTCATCAGGTCGATCTTGCACGGCTTGTGCGCCAGACATCTATGAACGCGAACCGAGTGTGTCGCTCCCAGGTACGACTAGTTATTAGGGTGCTTGTTGAGTTTAGATTGGGTTTCTAAAGTTTCTGTGCTGATTGTTTGTAGACAATGTTGTATGTCCGGCCGTACCCGACCCGGAAGAAACTCGTGGACGAAATTGTCGAACGATATGCAGTTGAGTACAAGGAAAGCCAACTGCTCACGATGCTGTTTGGCAACTCTTCATCGACGCCTGCAGCAGCGTCGACACCGTCGGGTGGAGCTGATTAAATGATGGACTGCTTACCCCGAATGGTTGGTAAAACTATGTGGATTTTCTGTTTGTATGCTTTTCAGACTATTCGCATGGTTTGTGCGGTGAGTTTGTCATTCCGACTTTTTTTCTTGCCGGATACCTTCAGCTTAACGTTGAGTTCTAGTTCTTTTAGTTATGTGTATCTATCACCCCTTGCTGCTTGGCCTCGTTCCATGCGATGAGAGGTCAACTGGGACCGAAGTTGCTCGATTTCGGCTTGCATTTCGTCTGTGAGTCGAGCCCACTTCTTCATCTCTCGAGTGCTGACATCACTGAGTTCTTGCAGACTGGCCTCAACTGTAGCGCGCTCTTTGCGCATCGCCGTTCGCTCTTGCAGCAACTGGTATATCATTTGATCTTTCACTCTTAGAAGACCCTCCAGCTCCGTTTGTTTCTGATGTTGCGAAGATGGCAGCGAGGCTGGTTGGACAGGAGCTGAAGTCGGTGGTGGAGGTGAAGAATTTAGAGAAGATCGATCGTTCTCCTTCTTCTTGGATGCAGGGATATCACCATAGTCTTTCATGGCAAGACATTCAGCCTCTTCCTCAACTCTGTCAGCTTTTTCGAGAAAGCTTTGCATTTCCCGCCGCGAAATATCGCTTCCTATTACATAAGTTGCAGGGTTAGAATAATTTATTCTCACTCGTTCTAGAACATTGATACGAATCTGACCTTTGTTCAGGTGGCGTCGTACGTATCCTATCACCTCATCCAACCGGTCCAGGTCGTCTTCCATGGCTTCGTATTGCTTAGTATCGTTATTCTCCGGCACACCTTCACTTTCGTTAAAATCCGGAAACGGTGACGTTCTCGATCTGCGCTTCATCCAGCTATTGTCATTCCTGCTTCTTTGTTGTTGTTGTTGATGCGTGATGTCCTCCCGTATAGCTTTCAAATGCAGTACAAGGCGCTCTCGCTGGTCGAATAACTCGTCTTTACAAATTTTCCTTAACCTCCACAACGCTGCTCGGTACTTCGCTCTTACTGCCTTTGGACTTGAAATATCTGCTTCTGTTGCAGCATCTTGGACATTTGCAGATACGGGCACAGCTTTTTCCTCTTGAACAGGTTCGAATGGAGGTGAAATGTTCGCTACCGGTGGAGCAAGAGCTCGATAGTTAGTCTCCTCTACAAAAGCTCGCAGTTGCGGCTTGAAGTCGGCAAAAAAGACGTGAAAAGTATCCAAGGTGAGTGCGCCTGTGTGATCCCTATCGTACCGCTCGAAGAGTTGACCAGCCTCAAATTCTGAGTTTCTATCGGCTCGTTGGTATCCTAGCGGGATGCCACTAGTGTCCGTTAGCGACAAAGGTGGTCTTGATAAAGATGCCCCCCACCCGCTACTCGTTGGGTCAGTATAGTCTTTCAAGAGCTGCAAGAAGTCGAGTCTCGTGAGAACTCCTGACCGGTTCCGGTCGTACCGACGGAATAACTGAATGGCGTCTGGGTCGTGAACTACTGGAGGTGGAGTGACGAGGGCCGTAGCAACAGATGCTGGAGCTGCAGCGGGCTTCTCTCTCTTGGAAGAAGATTTTCGATCTTTACTCTTGCTCTTGCGTTCCTTATCTTTACTCCGTGACGATGCCTCGCCACTCTTCTTGGGTTTCTTCTTGTCACCTGAAGCTTTTGAGGCCGACGCCATGAACGCGAGGTGAATAGAACAAAGCAGCAATGAACTTTATACGATCCCGTGCCAGTGACCCAGTATGGGCAAGTATTGGTGGTCGTTTCTAGAGCGGTTGCAGCACACATCGCATGACGCAGGTTACACGGAGTGTCCTTTGAGTTACAGACAAAATCAAGAACCGCAAGCACTTTTTCCAAGATCGACATGGTGCTGACCAGAGCCCTTCCACGGCGGATCGTATATCAGCGACCCCTTTGGCTTGAAGAAGGTTACGCTGCTAAAGACACGATGAGCGAGGCAACTAGACCTTCACTCGCTCGTACTCCATTCTTGTCGCTGAAGCAGGCCGAAGTATGCCACGCGTGTACGACACGTCGCTCGCTCACGACTCATGCATTGCCATTGTCTGCCGACATACACACATAACCTGCCATGTCTGCTGTATCCATTTACAAGCACGCTACGGCCTATGAACACCACACACTTCCGCTTCGCCATGCAAATAGACGTGCTGCACATCGTGACGATTGAATCGATAACGATAGCTCGCTTCGCATTTCTCAAACCACAGTATACAGTAATGTGTGATATGGCGACCGAGTTGGCCGATATGCGCGGCTCGTCTTGAGCCCGGAAACTTCCTCACACTTTGCGTTTCGCCGCGAACCCACTAGATGGGGATTTTCTCTCGTGACACCATCACTGATTTCGTGCGAAGGGGGGACCTCGACGGCGTGCGTCGTCGCTTGGACTTGGGCGACGACGTGAACGAGCGTCGAGGGTTCCACAACACGCCACTGATCGAGGCCGCACGGTACAACGTCGTGGACATCCTGGAGCTGCTCATAGCGCGCGGAGCGGACCTCGAATTGGCCAACTCGAACGACCTCACGGCGCTCCATGCGGCGATCGACGAGAAGAGAGAGGCTACAGCCTTAGCATTGGCTCGACACGGAGCCTGTGCGAATAACGTAGGGCTGTTTGGACGGACTCCCCTGCAATGCGCAATACTTCGGGATATGCTGGAGGTCACAGAGGTTCTTCTAGCTCATGGCGCCGACCCGATGGCAGAGAGCGACTCTGCTAAGATCGCTATGGACTACGTTCGCGCTGGACCGAATTGTGAAGAATTTGAGAAACTATTAAACGCTTATTCTTCTCTAAAGGGAGCGATTGGAGCTATGAACGCCGAGGCGATAACAGTGTGCTTACGGGAGAGATTAACGGGCGACAGAGCTGCCAAAGTGTCGAGTATTGACGCAGCTATTCAACTAAAACATAGCGAGGCAGTGACAATTATTCTTCAAATGTCTTTGGCTTCTGACACTTTGGTTGAGATGGTGGAGAAGCACAAGGAAGTGGAGCGTGGAGTCGAGCAAACGGATGATTTAAAGTGGCGAGAAGAGCTGAGAAATCTTGGTGAGGACTTTGGAAGGGGAGTGTTGGCACTATTGATGGACTCGGGGGATGTGGTTCTATTGAAGCAATTAGTGGAAGACACGACGTCCAAGTGGATACAAAATCTACGGCTTAGTAATGGATGGACCCCGCTGCATTTGGCTGCGTCACAGACCAATTTCGCACTTGTACGGTACCTCCTTGTGGACTGTGGTTGCAACCCGTTACTACTGTCTTCCGATTCCAAAACAGCGTTCGATTTTGCTGTAGAAATTGACAAAAACAGTAAAGTTTCATGGTTACTGCGAGAACATATCAAGCAACGCGCGTTTTGGGAGCGCGCAACGCTGATTTTGAGTGCTGGTAAAGTAACGGTGACGAGGCTACGCCAATTGATGGGACTGATGACTAGTGTCTATGATCTACATATCATTTTTGGCTTGGCGCTAAGAACGCTAAGCGCTGGTGAGATGCACACTGTTCTCTCAGAAGTTTTTGATGAGGTTATTCGAGCGAAACTGATAGTTGATCACCAAGCGATTACGTTCTTTCAACTCGCACTTCGAGAGTGTAGACGCGAGAACTTTATTGCTGAGGTGGAGCAGATGAAGTGGGATCTCAAAGCGACTAAAGTGAAGAGAGAAACGTCAGTCTGGGATCGAGAAATCAAGCGATCACTGCTCGAGGCGGCGTGTACTGTCAGGAAAGCTGAGAGGAACACTGCATTGGTTCATAAACAGTTTAACTTGCTACGAGAAGAAATGAAGCTGAGCGCGATCAAGCCGCATACACGCCAGCGGTATATTTCTCGTCTTTCTGTGGCGCTGATTTTGTGCGGTGGAGCGGCTTACAACTTGGGTGCATTGTTCGATATCTGTGACCCAGCCAAACTCTTGACTGTGTTGAGTGCAGACGATGTGGAGGATTTCCTTGCCGAGACAACGAGCACTTTTGTTTTTAAGACTGGAGTCGAAGCAGTGCTGATTCATTCTGCTATTGATCCGATTGATTTCGCACTCGCTCTCCGAAATATAGTTAAGCAAGAACAATCGGAGTGTATAGAGACCAAACGTTCCGCATGGGAACCATGCGACCGCGAGAGCTTCGATTCCACCGAAGACGTCCTGCAAGTACCGTAAGACTAGCAGTCTTGCTACCGGTACTATTACGTCAAGTATGTACATTATAGTGTTAGTTTTCCGTTGAACTACTAGTAAATAGTATTTATGTTTAGCTTTGTCATGTATTGAAGTATTAATAACTTCTTGACTCAAGATGCGATAGTCTATTGTGGACCTGGGTGTGCACTTAGCACGTTGGAAAAAAATATAGCGTCCGTTTCTGTGTCATTATTAGTTGACTCGAATAAGCTCGCAAACGGTAGCACAACGATGACGGCAATGAAGTCAAGCGAGACTAAACCAGCGGGCCCTGTTTTGCCAGAAAGAAGACTGACTAAAGTACAAAGCATTACCAGACTGACAGCAGCTCTAAGAAGTCGAACGAGCGCTAGGCGAATGCTGATGATTGTATGGTTTAGCTTCGGGATTCTTCCGCTGGTTTTGCAGGGGAGGAATTACTGGAAACTCGTCACGGCTCACAAATTGACCGAAGACCTAGTGGTTTCCGCCGATGAGTCGATAGAGACAGCGAATATTACCGAATACTGTCCTCTTCAATGGCTTTATATCGCGAGTGCGTGGTGGAACGTCGTAGTTACGCATTATTATTCCGTTAAGCATGGACAAATCTGTCACTTCGTGATACCACAGTACAACGTTCACGGAGCTTTCATTTTAGGGACACAACGCATACAAAAATCACCGACAACACCTACAAGCTGTGAAAACGAAAGCTATGCTTTCGAACATTATTTTTACCACGGAAGTATCGGATACTTTGCGTTCTACGAGGAAGCAATAGGGACATTCTGCACGATGGACAAGACAGCCTATGTTCGTGTTCGAGGACTCGGAACATTTGACAGTAATGCGTCAGCATTGGCGCGCGACAGAGGAGACTATTCCTACCGGCAATCGTACTGGTACGGGATCTTTGGACTGATGTGGATTTTGTATCGCATCCTGCTCCTTCGTAAAAGCTATATTTTGTGCAACCGGTATGGGATGCGATGTTTTCGTTTGCAAGAAACATTGTCGAGGAAAGCTGCCGCAGTTTTCATGCAGGAAAGCATGCGGCTTTCCACTCATAACTCATCAAATTTTTTCCGAGTGGTGGTATTGTACATGTTGATCGAGGGCGTCATGAGCGATTTATTTCTGCTGATTGCTCAAGATGGAGCCAACGCCAAACTCCAGTACATCTCACTGGGCTACAATTTGTCTGGAGTGCTCTTGTTACTGTTTGAAATGCTTGAAAGTAAAAACTGGTTGTGCGAGAAAGTGCGGCTTTTAGTGAAAAGGTTATTGTTCAGCTATGAGACCTCTCTATTCGGAGAGCTCCTCTGTGCAGGAGTGATGAACTACTTTCTTACGTGGGTTAATCGATCGAGCTTGAAAGAGTCGCACCCAGCGGCTCTCGCGGCTTCGTACTACGTGTGGAGCTTGGTTGGTCACGGGGTCCTTGTACTCGGACTCGCTGCATTTATCACGTCAGTTCGTATTGTCTTGTCATGTGGATACATACTATGGCATCACAGAACGTGGGTAGTATTGACGGCTCCTTGTTGTGTTGATACGACGTTGGGCGTACGCTGTAAAATGATTACTTTGGCCGGATACTCCTGGCACAACGATCAATTATACTACAAAACCGAAGCTCTTAAGGCATTCGGCGTATTGAAAATGCTCGAAGAAGACGGATCGGAGTACTTTGTTTTCCGCCAAGTGCACCCGGTCAAAGTCCCGAGAGATGAATTCCTTGTGATCGGAAGCGTTTCTGGGTGTCGTGTTGAACCTTGTGTAGAACGGAAATGTACTGGTCCCGTGTCGCTCTTTGATCGGAATCTTGGAGGTTCGCACAAGATGCTCGATATTATCAACAAAGTACCCGTAGGGCCGACGCAAGGAAACATACCTACCGATTCAGTCTCTAGAACAAGTTGAATTTATCGACCGAACGAACAAACTTTTTGTTCCTTCCACTTCAACTACTCCAGTAGTGTAGAATTTTTGTTTTTCTTATCCGACTTGCACCTAATGGACCATACCGTATCGGTTGGTGACGGTCTCCGCTACACCGAAGACCGTCGCCGCAAAATACCGATGCTTGGTGAAGCCAATGCAATGCACAGGCTACAGCTCTTGCAAAGGCGTTGCGCGCATAACTTGCGGTGTGGGAACAACGTTCCTTTGCCAAGTCGCCATTACGCTCCTCAGAGACGGGGCCAAAATATCAGCCCCTTCTGCTTGCAATTAACCGGGATAGGTTAACATTTACTCTAAACATCATTTCCCTTTCAAATAGGGTATATCATTTTTACTTTCATTTACAAAAAGTAAGCTAGAAATACCTCTGTAAATACGTAGCTAGTCAGCGCAGAGGCACAGTTACAACGTATCGCCAAGGTGCTCCCTCAGTATCGGCCACCCCACCAAGACGCAGGCACTAAAGTAGGGGCGACGTCCACTCCACCACGCCCCGCCATCTCGCAGCAGAGCCCACGCCGCCGTGGAGCTGGCCCGGGGCAGCCATGGCGCGAAGAAGAAGACGCGCGATGCTGGCGTTCGGCACGTTGGCGGCCGCGGCGGCACATTGCGTGGCGCTCAGCGACCGCCGTCTTATCACGTTCGACGAGGCGCACAACGCAGTGACAGACACAATAACCGAGGTGGCCAACGAGGCTGTGGATACAGCGAATACTATCGTATCGAACTTGGCGTCCACAGTACTTGGTGGCGCCACGCGGACGGACGAGACGAGCAGTCCGTCGACATCCATTTCGGTCACGATAGGAGGCAATACAGACGACATAGCGGAGAAACCCACGACGACGGGCAGTGTGGACGAACTAGATGCGAGTCTTAACGACGAGAACGATTCACCGACGGCTATAGCAGATTCAGAGACGACGACGGCACCGACGAGGGTGACGGTGACGACGGCGCCGTCGACCAGGGTGTCCGCGACCACGGCGCCGTCGACTAGGGTGTCGGTGACGACGCCTGTGACGGGATCAGAAGAGAAGGAGGATGCGACGTCGGCTCCGCTTGCCCCAATAGCTACGAGACGTAGCGGGGTGGCACACGCAGTGTACATGACGAAGCAACCGACACCACCGCCGTCCAGTGACGACGAAACAGGAGCAGAGTCAACAGCGGATAGCGAGACAGAGAGCGCAGCGCCGACGGCAGCGCCAGCGCCTAGAACGCAAGCCCCAACAGACGCACCAGTGACGATTTCAATAGGAACACAACCTCCGTTAGTCGCGACCGAGGCCCCAGTGCCAGTATCAACACCAGTACCAGTAAGTATCCCGGTTTCAACAGATATTCCTGTTCCGATGGAGCCAACAACTGCACCAGTGACAGTAACGCAAGCTCCGGAGCCAGCACCTGTAGTAGATACGGCGACGCCCTCCACTCACAGTAGTTCAGTAGCAGATACACCCGATCGCGGTGTTATCGACGACGAGACGGACGCGCCGGCAGTAACTGGATCAACTTCTACAGACGCAGCGGTGATTGTTCCAGACGAAAGCACTGTTGTGCCAATTACAGACGCACCAGCCATGGGAACAGGTAGCGCGCCTTCTACAGGTACAGCGCCGTCACCTGAGTCTCCAGCCTCATGGACAGACTCCTCCGGTTCCAGCAGCAATAACGAAACAGTGACGATACATTCAGCGAGCGGGAGTGAAGACAACAGCGAGGGAATTAGTCCAGGTCAAGTCCACGCCAGCTCCAGTGCAGATGTGAGTCTGGATGGGTCGGACGCGTTGGATATTGAAAGCTCAAACTCTCCTGGAGGCAAACCGAAGAAAAACAAGAAGAAGGAGACACACAGCAGCAGTGGAGATTACAGTGCCGATAGTACAACCAGCGAACAGGACGAGTCGAGCAAGAAATCCAACAGCGGAGCCAGTAACAGCGGCATGGACGGAATATTAAAACCTGGTGGTGTATCGGACGTCAACACCAGTGCCGCCACGTACTACAGTTTAGGCACAGGGTCCATCGTCGCGATTGTCGGAGTGATTGCAGGCATCATGGGTCTTCTGGTCATGTTCGTGGCAATTAGTCGTAAGAAATATGCGGACGACGACGACGAGAGTCCACTGCCTTACGGCTACGACATGGACATGCGCTCCATCTCGAGATTATCGCCGACGTTTATGCAGGATGATTCCTTTATGGAAAGCGGCTATAACGGCACAGCACTGATGGTTGCAGTGCCTCCTCCCACGTACGACGGAGCGTCTTCTATCAGTGGCGAGAGTGCAGACGAGGTGCCATCTCTACGTGGTAATATGATGGCAGCCAACCATTGTGATCCGTTAGGGGACATCAGCATAAGAAGCAGAGTACCGTCCATGCAGAGCTTCAGTGGTGAACTAGACACGGGCAACGTTCGGGTGTCTGCGTTGTATTCAGCAGGATCGTCCATGACGAGCGGTAGTGAAATTAGCGGATCGTGGAGCTCTGTACTGGCCTCGGACACCGATCGCCAGCCGTCGCGTAACACGCGGGACACAACATTAAGCGGGTGGTCAGCGACCAACTTGTCGAGCTTCGGTAGCACTGCCAGCGGAGCCTCCGGGTTATCTCGAATGACCCGATCATCGTCAGCCTTTTCAGCCTTATCCACTGAACTTCGACATACTGGCGGCAGTGATCGGAGTCGCTCGTCGTCGCGGCTGACAAACCATTCGGACGCACCTCGAGTCGCTGCAGGGCCTGTGGACTCGAGTCGCAGTGACAAGAGCACCGAGATCTAATGATCGTTAGTGAGTGTACATAGAGTACCGTGGCGTTACGCTGAAACAAAGTCTACCTCAGAAGGACTGTAGATTTCGAGGGAGACTTAGATGGTTCCTTTTGGTTGTGTAGTGACTGGCCGAGTGCCTTTATAATATTTGGAATGCAGATTTTTGCAATGCCGTGAGACGAATGCGTTGAGAAATTCGACTGACCAGAACGTTTTTTTTTTTATGAGTTATACACAACCCGATCCATCCGAAAACTGCGCGATTGACAATAGGGAAATAGTCCGTCATCCATCATCTCGTTGAGCAACACATTGGCGAGAACTGAGAACACACTGGAGCTCAGCTTGTCATCATCATCACGTTCTGAATGTTGGACCGCGTGATCGTCTTGTACATGTCCAGCACGTTACATGAGACGCGACAGCAAAGTGCAGCATACCATTGCGACCAGCGAACAGGTAGAACAGAAGTCTCTGGCCGCAATTCTGAGCAGCTAGGACAAGAGAAACGCCGTCAGAGCAGCACGGACTCCATGACACGGAGTAATGCTAGCGGAGACCATACATGTGCAGGCAGGCAAGAGATCTAGCAACCTGAGTTGCTGCCCAAAAGATCGCTTTCAACGTGTCCTTCCACCGTCGAACGGACGTGTTCGGCGGGTTTTCAGAGACCGTTCTGACGCGTTCCCAGGAATACAGGATTGAACAAATACGTAGGAAATGCACGCGCATTTTTCGTGCTGGTGAGACGGTATCAAGTGCGAGGTGAGGCCTCATGCTTCATGAAGAGGATAACGGCCAGATGTACACTCGGGCGAGGAGAGAATGTCTCCAGTGCAACGCGGAAACGAAGAGAACAAGACTGAAGTCCGAATGTGTGGCCAAGCCAGCGTGATTAGTTTGAGGCCAAGACCGGACATTTCTACGTTTCTGAAGCTCTCTAAGCTAAGCTATCTGCACTTGCTAGTACACGCTTAGATTATCTAGATTCTCTAGTGTCTTGCTACGAACGCATCGTGTCTTGTATTGAAATGAGCGTAGGTAACACACTTCATATTCTTTCATTCCTACACGTTTGGTCACTTTCTCTGCGCGTTCTTCAGAGGCAGACCGTACGATACCGGTACACCTCTTCGAATTCATATTTCATCCAATTATCACTCTGATCCTCCATTTTCTCCTTTTTAACTGGCCAAAAACCAACCTGATTTCAAGCTCGGTACTACCGTCTCGCTATACCGTCGCTGCTGCAGGATCTAATCGAAGCGTCGGAGAGCTGCTGAGCTGCTTTAGAGCTTGCCCCACTTGTAGTCTTGCCTGACACCGTCCCAGACGCGGCTACATAACCGCCCAGAAACCACCCCAGGAGCTGTGTGGGTATTGGGCCAGCTCCCAAGTCGACAATAGCGCCGCAATGTTCCGCAAGAAGACGGCCGGCCCCGCAGTCGACGAGAAGGAGGCTCCTATCAATGCCATCTCCCCCGCTGCGCCCGTGGACGCCCCGCGTGTACGACGAGCCTATTCTCTGGATGATTTTGAGCTGCTGGCAACGCTGGGCACGGGCACTTTCGGCCGCGTACGCCTGGTGCAACTCAAAGGCGTGGGGTCCTTCCACGCTCTCAAGATCCTCAAGAAGAGCGAGATCCTGCGGCTCCAACAGCTGCACCACATCAAGTGCGAGGTGGAGATCCTGAGTCGAATCCAACACCCGTTTATCGTCAATTACCTGGGTCATTTCCAGGACGAACGGAGACTGTATCTAGTGCTCGAATATGTGCAAGGAGGGGAGCTCTTCTCCTACTTGCGACGTCAAGGCCGCTTCCCGGACCACGTGGCCTGCTACTATGCGGCTCAGCTAGTCACAGCACTGGCCTATCTCCATGCACAACACATTATCTACAGAGACTTGAAGCCCGAGAACTTGCTCATTACATCCGAGGGATACCTCAAGATCACAGACTTTGGCTTTGCCAAGATCGTCGAGGACAAGACGTGGACGCTCTGCGGTACACCCGAATACCTCGCACCGGAGATTATTCAGAGCAAAGGACACGGCAAGTCGGTGGATTGGTGGGCGCTCGGCGTGCTCATCTACGAGATGCTGGCAGGGTATCCTCCTTTCTACGACGAGAACCCGTTCGGTATTTATCAAAAGATATTGGACGGTAAAGTGGACTTCCCCAAGCACATAGACTCCAAAGCCAAGGATCTAATCAAGAAATTGTTATCGCAAGACCGCACCAAGCGACTTGGTACGTTTAGAAATGAAAGAGCTGGCGTTAGAAATATGACACTGATTATTATTATTTTTGTCTATTTCTGTATGTTCAGGTTGCTTACGAGGCGGATCGGAAGACGTGAAGAAACATAAATATTTCGGCAAAGTGGACTGGGATGCGGTGCTCGCACGCACCGAGACACCACCATATCTGCCGCCAGTGGGGGGACCTGGGGACCACACGCACTTTGACGAGTACCCGGACTCGCCTGTTGACGACGCTGTCATTCTGTATGGAGAAGATCGAGCTGCCTTCGAAGTGTTCGACCAATTTTAAGTTCAATGCGAGCAAAATGTCTTTCCATGTGTCGTGCAATTGATCCCGTGCAACGGGATCAAATTCAGTAAATTACTTATAAAAAGGGCTACATGAGACATACCGAACTTCAACTAAGCGAAAATGGCTACGTACGTTGAAGTTATAGTCCTAAAAAGTTACTCGTGCTTACTTGAACGAATAGTGCGCAATAATCGAGCTGCCTGATCCTCGATATATGACACCGTATCAGCAGTTTCGCCATTGCCGGTTGCACTTTTCGAGACTTGAGCAGGCACTCGGTATACCGTCACGTCCCCCGTCGAGTCTCCAACAATAAGCACCGGGGCTTTCGGTGCAAACGCTACTGTGGTGCACTCCAGCGGCACTTCAACCATAGTAGTCGCTGGGACTTCCACTGCATTCGGATCTCGATCCTTTTCGTCGTTCTCGTCCTCTTTCGGTGTCAAATCTCGTGTGCTCGAGTCCAACACATCGCCTTCAGCTGGTTGAGTCACAGGCACAGGAACTGCGATATATTTCTTGGGAAAATGACGCACAATCGGGTCAAGAGTGGACTGGATGAGGTCCCAGAGCTCGATACGACCGTCTTCGGCCACAGCAGCGAATACCCCAGCATCACTCGGACTCCAGGACGCTCCTAGCACGGCCTTGGCCAGATCCACAGAGTGGAACGTAAGCGCTGCTTCCCCGTGAGGATCAGCTTGATGCCATAACTTTAGACTCCAGTCACCAGAGCACGAGAGAAAGAGGTCACTACAGAACGGAGACACCAGCAACTGGTATACCGGTCCAGTGTGTCCAATGTACGTCTGCAAGTACTGCTCATTGTATGATACCGAGCACTTGTGCACCAGTCCGTCCTCCGTACCCACGTAGTAAACGGACGGATCTCCATGACTTGCAAACACGAGACTGCGACCACTAGCCTGTCGTGAAATGACCCCATCCGTGCCTCCCCCGACTCCGTTTGTTCCAGTTGCAGCAGTACCGGGACCTCCTAATAACGGGTTCGGTGCTCGCTTCAACGTCATGAGATCACTATAACTCAGTCCTTTCTTGAGACTCCACTCGACCACTCGCCCATCCGCAGACACACTGACAACGCTCTCACTGCCTCCATGAGCCACCCATTTGACTTGCCATACAGCATCAAGATGTTTCCCACTTAGACCCGAACTCGTAGCGACCGGGACCGGAACATGCTTCACAGTTGGCGTCGCTGTCTCTCCTAATGACGTAGCATTTGACGAAGAAGTAGAAGAGATAGAATCATCCTTCCGAGTGTCGTAAATGGAAACTACACCATCAGCGAATCCAACCGCTAGGAGATACGGATGTGCAGTGCTGAAGTCGATGGAGGTCACACCCACTGGTAGTTGGTAGATCCGTTCAGGGTATTCAGGATTGGTCAGCGACCAGAAGAGTACCAGACCATCTTTCTCTGTACCGGTAGTGCCAGAGGTTGCAGGAGATTGAACATTTCCAGGTCGAGATACTGGATTAGCTGGACTGGGTGCTTGGCCATTGGCAGGGGAAGCTGCGGATACTTCGGGTTGTGTCGGTTGATCATTGCGTGCATAGGATACTGCGAGTAGATCTTCGTTCGCTGTGTTCCAGGCAAGACACGACACAGTTCGGTTTTGAGTGAGTTCGCAGCTAAAAGTCCACAGTTTCTCGAGCTCTTCGATGCTCTTTGAACCGGTCGAAAACGAGTTAGAACGACCAGAGCCGAGAGCTCCGGGGAAGCCCATGTCTAGAGCTGGTACGATCACGTTTCGAGACTCGGTTACTGGTTCCTCCGACTCGAGCATGGGGAAGTCTCGATACCTCACATGTTGCTCGTGGTACACGTTCTGCTGCACGGCACGCTCCACGATACTGGCCATGAGAGTGAGAGAGGAGGAGCCCAGGACGTGTGCGGTGCGTTGACGAGCGATAATCTCACCCAGATCCACATTAGTATTGGCTCGAGCGTACACGTTGTTGGACTTCTGGTCGCCACTCCCAGTTGCTGCACCACTAAGGACGCCGCGTGATGCGTTAGCTACACTCATACCAACCTGAGAATTGGTCGCTGCACTGCCCGAACTTGCACCTTCGGCTGTTAAACCTGCAAAGTCTTGCGAGGCACCAGCTGTAATGTTGCCGCCACTTTGGTCGCCTGGGACGACCGACGCGTTGGAATTCCCGGACACGTACGCAGTCGCTACTGCAGCAGAGCGTTGGCTGTCGAATACCCGAGACTTTTGGCTGTAATTACTGCTATGACCGTGTCTGTCTCGCGTCTTGCGACTTGGTCTAGACGCATGGTGTTGTCTTGCACGCAGATCTTCGACAATGTCTCCATCGACATCTAGCACACAACCGGGGGACGCTAAGGTGGCTCCGACGATCTCTTCCACTTGCTGTTTAAGCTGAACGTCCGCAACACCCCCACCAATTGACTCTGTCCCCGTCGATACGGGCGTTCCTTCACCTTTAGATCCTTCACTTGATGTCGTTTGAGACTGAGATACCCCGTTTGTAATCGCTCCACCAACATCGTCCTCTGCGTTGGTCTCATCCTCGAGCTTGCCGCAGTCGTAGATATCCCAGTCGGTAGCTACACACGCTGCGTCACGAGTAGCTGGTGGGGCGGTCATGACCTCTTTTGCCTTCTGTGCTAGCTGTAAAGTCTGAGTTCGACCTTGCACGTATTTGTCACTGCCTTTCTTCTGCGCACAGATCGCTTGATAGCGTTTGTTTCTCGCAGCAATAGAATTATGATCAGGCGCGTCCAGAGCGACACAAACACTGCGTAGTTCAAATAGCATTTCCGTTGCAGTCTCACCCAGTCGAACCGTGACTGGCCGGCGTACACCTGGGGATATACCAGTTGATACCGTCACGGACTTCCTGCCAACCAGTAGTGGGGCTTGAGCTGACCCCAGACCAGAAAGAGGGTCACCACCTTCGTCCTTGCCTTCTTCCTGCTCTTCAGTGTCCGCCGGACCAGCAGCTACCGTAGTTCGGGTGTTGTCATCCTCTTCTTGATTCATAGAGGGAGTCACTGTACTGGCAGTTGGATGGTCTCCGATATTCGGCTTCGGCTCTTTTCGAGGCGCTTTCACGCTCATGTTGCCTGTTGTGCCTACGACTGAGGTAGAGCTCTCGTTGTCGGAGTCATTGTCGGCCGAAGAGGCCGACGCAGTGCTGAAGAGGAAACTAGCTCCGACCACTGAGGCCCCAACAGTAGAAGCACCGACGGCGTGGGCTTTGGAGCGAGTGTTTCGACCACCTTTACCCCTGCCTTTGGACTCCGTCGTTGACTTGATACGACTGACTAATAAAGACTGTGGAGTGACGTCTTGGCCATCCAAATACACGCGAGTCGAGTGGCCGGAACCGTGGCCGGTGGTTCCTCCGTTTACATTGGCGACGCTCCCGTTCACGCGTCTGGAATTCGACACTGAGGATGCACCAATGATCCGAGACCGACCGGTGGCGTCCCGCTTACTGCCATGGACCTGTTTCGTACTGCTGCCCACTGGAACTCTGGCGCTTGATGGTGAGGCCATGGTAGAAAGCCAACAAGAGGAAATGCTAGTGTCTCTCAGAGCTACAAGTATTAGTGAAACGACGCGTCTGGTTGAGCAGTCACTGCAACCTATAAACCCAGAGACGACCCAGAGACGTGATAGAGAAAAAAAATGTTACTTTTTCATGACAATGATTTAGTTTGTCCAAGAAGTCAGAGGCTTTGGTACATCAAACACCGAAAAAAAAAAA